TAGCACCAACCCAGTGAAATGCTATTTTATCTTCATTTTGCAGAGGAGGATATTGAAACTTAGAATGGTAAGTTAACTACTTAACCTGGTAATTGGAAGGGTGATAGACACCTCACCCTGAGCATGCTGGCTTATTCGTCCTGCTAGACTCTCTAGCTATGATACATGTCTGTTTTCCTTAGTCTCAGATATTCTTGCAATAACTGAGTTGGTGCACTTTGCAACTGTCTATAAAACAAATGCAGATCCAGAGTCTAGGCAGTAAACACATTTATCATTGACCCAACAACTTTTCATCAGGAAGACTAATTTGCACCCCAGTGTTTCTCAGCATTGCACCTTGGATTTTACTGGGCAGAGAGTTGCTGAAGAATTCCTGGGCTGGCTCATGTGCACATGGTCAGCTGGACCTCAGGGAGCTCCTGGTAGAGCTGAGGGCCAGCTGAGGGGCAGATCTGGGGCTTTCTCAGCCCCCTTGAGCCTCCAGCCAAGTTCTTTGTCAGTGCTAATCTCCCTGGCATGAATGAGGGACCAGATGAGAGAAACTTCTGATCAGGCATACCAGAAAACTCACACTCTTGGCTTCAGATATATTCGTCTCCCATTCCTCACCCAAATTCAACTCTTTTCCCATCTATGAGAGACATTTGACCAGGATTTCTTCTGGCAGGAAAGCTGATATGGAAACATGGGGAGATGGAGGAAGCAGTAAGGGGGACACGGGCCAGCAGGTCTCCCTGTCTGGGTACCTATAGTGAAGACACCTTGAGCTAGGTCCCTCAGCCTGGAAGAAACTATGCCCTGCAGTCCTCCCCTCCTCTAGGACCTAAAAGCAAGGTGCAGAGCAATTCCAACCCCTTGTCAACCCATCCACCTTTGGCAGTCCCTAGAGAATGATCTAAGGGAATAGGTACACATTAAAGGACAATTTGGAGAATATCCGCGGTTAGCTAGGGCTGCTGGACAGGGAGCAGAGTGCGTGAGAGACTGCGGGTTTCCTCTGTCCTCTTTGCCTTTGTTTGTTGTTTCTATCCTTTTGTTTCTGGCAGGGAGGGCAGAGGGATCAAAACCTCCTGGGGAGCTAAAGGTGGGGTGAAGACCCAGGACCAAGTCATGCTGCTTGCCAAGGCTGAGTGGCAGTTCAGTGTGACTTCCTGTCTTGGCACAGGTAGAAAAAGTGACACTATGAGAAGTAGACTGGTCCCCTGGCTGCTACTCTCACAGGGGGTGTAGGGTCTACTGTGCCTGGGACCAGCCAAAAACCACTCAGCTGAACCCAGCCCCAAATTGCTAACCCATAGAACTGCAATCAAACAAAGGGTGGTCATTTTAAACCACTCAATTTTGAAGCAATTTGTTGCACAATAATAGAAAACTGATAGAAGAGGATTCTGACAGAATAGGTTCAAATGTGATGATGGAGGAAAAAAATAAGGTTGCTTCTTGCTTGCCACCTCCCAGTCCAGCTCGTTTAATTAACAGTTACATTTGCAAAAGGCAGATCCCTGCAGTAATACCGGATAGATTATAGATTTCACCCCCAGGTATTCTCAAGTGCCTAAGCACCTACTTGATTTAAACAGATAGTTCATGTTCCTGGGACTCTCCCCACATCCCACTCAGCCATGTCTCCCTCGGGACCTTACCTTTCAGAGCTGGGGGAGTGCAGAAGACCACTCTCTAACCTTGACCAGGGTAACTAGCACTGACCCCCAAAGAATGTGGCAATTGGAGCTGAGAAGAAGCCATGACCTTGATGGGAGTAGAAGTAGGGGCGAGGAATGAGCTATCTCTGCTTTGTTTCCTTCCTGGAACAGAGCAGAACATAACTAAATGAGACATGCAGGTGTGCAGGCTGAGCTGCCGCTTCTGGGAAATGAAAAGCTTCTAATTAGAATGTTTTCCTCAGGCTGAGGGACAACTCCCAAGCCCATCGTCAGCCCAGAGACCATGGAGTTTCTGCTTCCTGCCCAGGTGGGCCCTCCCTGTTGTGTGATCCAGCCTCCAGGTCTTGCCAGGTGGGCGTGCTTCGGTCTGGGTTGGGGGGCAAGGGCGGAGGACTCCTTTGGGCTAATTGTACATCCTGGTCTGGTCCCAGACCCTTGGCCCACCTTAGCTGTGGGTTTTAAGACCCCACCCTCCCAAGCCTGCTGAACAGGGAGGGGTTGCAGAGCCAGGGTGTCTCCTCTGCCCCCTAATTGTACATCCTGGTCTGGTCCCAGACCCTTGGCCCACCTTAGCTGTGGGTTTTAAGACTCCACCCTCCCAAGCCTGCTGAACAGGGAGGGGTTGCAGAGCCAGGGTGTCTCCTCTGCCCTGCAGCTGTTCCTGCAATAGGGCTGCCCAGGTGCAGGGTCACAGGGAGAACCAGAACCTGCTAGCAGGGTCTGCCCTGCAATACCAGGGGTTCCATCTTTCCTTCCCTCCCACCCATCAGTTCCCGAGGAGCCTCTGTCCTTCTCCAGGCCTCAGTTCTCCTGTGCATGGGATGAGAGCAGGGTTTCTTAAACTAGGTTTGGGGACTATGAGGGCCCATGATGGGCTTAAGGGAGAGGTGTCCAGGTACTCTCTGAAAGTATATGCAGACTATTATTTCCATGCACATTACTCTGAGGGGAGTTTAAACATCTTAACAAAGTGATTAGTGGTTCACAAAATGTTAGGAAACACTGGTCTAGAAAATTCCCAGGCCCCTCCAGCACTCATATTCCTGCTTTCCCTTTCTGTGTCACTTCCCAAGCATGGTTCTACCCTCCCTTCTCAGTCTATGTAGCTGCTTCTCATCCAAGACGTGTACCCTGCGGGCTTCCAAAGGGGCTCTGGAGTAACGACCAACAAGGCTGGTATGTTATAATGTGACTGTTAAATTGGGGGGGGAGGGTAGGGGGACAAAGTATGTGAAATACACAGGACATCTAACTCATACAATTGCATTTGAGCAATAAATTTAGGTCTAAGCATCCCGGCAGCCACATGAAAAAAGAGGATTGCTGAATTGATTAAGCCTCTGGGATTTGTGTCTCACTGTTGCCACAATTTAGCCCAAAGCTATAACTCTAAAAAGGTGGATTTTAGGCACTAAGTTTACCTAGTACGAGAGAGATTTTAAGATGGGTAGGCTTCTAAAGCCTCCTCCTCCAGCTATGCAATTCAACAAACATGCAGTGAGCATTNCTAATTGTACATCCTGGTCTGGTCCCAGACCCTTGGCCCACCTTAGCTGTGGGTTTTAAGACTCCACCCTCCCAAGCCTGCTGAACAGGGAGGGGTTGCAGAGCCAGGGTGTCTCCTCTGCCCCGCAGCTGTTCCTGCAATAGGGCTGCCCAGGTGCAGGGTCACAGGGAGAACCAGAACCTGCTAGCAGGGTCTGCCCTGCAATACCAGGGGTTCCATCTTTCCTTCCCTCCCACCCATCAGTTCCCGAGGAGCCTCTGTCCTTCTCCAGGCCTCAGTTCTCCTGTGCATGGGATGAGAGCAGGGTTTCTTAAACTAGGTTTGGGGACTATGAGGGCCCATGATGGGCTTAAGGGAGAGGTGTCCAGGTACTCTCTGAAAGTATATGCAGACTATTATTTCCATGCACATTACTCTGAGGGGAGTTTAAACATCTTAACAAAGTGATTAGTGGTTCACAAAATGTTAGGAAACACTGGTCTAGAAAATTCCCAGGCCCCTCCAGCACTCATATTCCTGCTTTCCCTTTCTGTGTCACTTCCCAAGCATGGTTCTACCCTCCCTTCTCAGTCTATGTAGCTGCTTCTCATCCAAGACGTGTACCCTGCGGGCTTCCAAAGGGGCTCTGGAGTAACGACCAACAAGGCTGGTATGTTATAATGTGACTGTTAAATTGGGGGGGGAGGGTAGGGGGACAAAGTATGTGAAATACACAGGACATCTAACTCATACAATTGCATTTGAGCAATAAATTTAGGTCTAAGCATCCCGGCAGCCACATGAAAAAAGAGGATTGCTGAATTGATTAAGCCTCTGGGATTTGTGTCTCACTGTTGCCACAATTTAGCCCAAAGCTATAACTCTAAAAAGGTGGATTTTAGGCACTAAGTTTACCTAGTAGGAGAGAGATTTTAAGATGGGTAGGCTTCTAAAGCCTCCTCCTCCAGCTATGCAATTCAACAAACATGCAGTGAGCATTTGAACGTGCCACATCCCAGGAATAGAGCCAGTAAAACACCAGTGTGCTCTCGGTGGCCTGGGCGATGAGGCGCTTAGTCCTATAAGGGCTGAATATTTCTAGAGCTCACTTTTCCTACCTGTGAAGTGAAGACAGTAACCCCCATACTGAAGGGGACTTAGGAGAATAAAGTAGGAGCCTTGGTCACAGTCAGCACTCAGCAAGTCTGGGGCTCACACAGACACAACCAACAACTGGAGAACTGCCTGGTAAAGTGGCCATCTGCGGAACCAAGAGAGCTTAGAAGAATAGATCCTCAGGGGCTGGGGACATCGGGAAAGGCCACCCCCAAGGAGGTGGCCTCCACCTGGGCTTGAAGAATAGGTAGGATTTAAAAGGGAAGTTGGGGTGGGTGGGCACTTCATGATGGGGAAGCCAAGGGTGGCAAGTGGGTGGGGGTGGTGGGAAATACCACATCATATTTGGAGACGAGAACCAGATCCCCTGGTGTAATGTAGAGTTTGTACCCAGGAGGCTTGGAAGATAACTTTAAAAGGTTTGTTGCAGAGAGCCTTGAGTTACAACAGACACGTACTGAGTACTGGCTGGATGGTGGGCGTGGTGCTCAGTGCCACAGAAGCTCGCGATCACCAGAGGGAGACAGACACATCTGCAGCAGAATGTGACACTGTGCGGCAACAGCTATGGAGTGTGGATATCCAGATAAAGAAAAGTTTCCAAGTTGGGGACTAACAAGCTACAAGGAAGACCAGCCTAACAGCTGGAGGATAAATTGGAAAGCAGGAGCTAGCGGGAGAAGCTGGAGGCCAGAGACCGGACAGGAGATGGTGTAAGTAGTCCAGGCGGGTCACGAGCAGGACATGACGGACGGCGCTGGGAGGATGGGGCAGCGCAGGGAGCAGGCATCTGGAAAGGACAAGTGGGCTGCAGAGCAGGGTCCACCTTCTGGAGAGAGAGGGTCCTGAGGACACAGCCCACTCTTGAGAGAGTGAGCCTCATCTGCCAAAAACACAGCCCCTCTAGGAAGAAGCTGACTCAGAGCATCTCCTGAGAGCCTCCAGTGAAACCTGGAGGGGTGAAATCCCAGAGAGAGGGGGCTCAGGGTCCTGCAGGAATTCTATGTGGCTGGGCAGGAGAGTCTGCCAAAAACACAGCCCCTCTAGGAAGAAGCTGACTCAGAGCATCTCCTGAGAGCCTCCAGTGAAACCTGGAGGGCTGAAATCCCAGAGAGAGGGGGCTCAGGGTCCTGCAGGAATTCTATGTGGCTGGGCAGGAGAGCAGTGTTGGTCTGGCTTCTGCAGAGCCTGATGTAGTACCCCATTTGCAATGCCACTACGGATGTTATATAATGACATTACATAAGCCTATTACATAAATCAAAGTCCTGCTACGACCAAGCATGGCCCCTGCCCGAGGCTGACCTAATCCGAGGCCTGAAGGCTCTGTCCTTTGTTGGGCAGTTGGATAAATCTGCTTCCTAAAAGCTTCTGTCACACCCTCCTGACTCCACACCTCTGTCTGTGGGTCACTGTTGTTCCCTCTGAGCTACTGATGCCACGGCTGACACTCACCCAGCCTTTCCCAGGGAAGGACAGGAGGGGGGAATGGTGGCCGTGGACCCTCTCCTGGGGGTCTTTCATTCCCCACTGAATGTAAGACTTATCTCTGGTTAAAGAAATTTTGGAGACTGATGAGTGAGTGGAGTTGTTTGTTTTTCTCCCCCAGGCCCTTGGAATTCGCCACAAACACAGGAAGGTTCTCGAGCCCCAGGGACAGAAAAACCTTTCACTATTGGAGACCAGCATGTCCTCTGAATCTGCTCAACTACCCTGTATTTCAGTCTGCCCATCTCTCCCTCCAGATTCTAGCAGGAGCCCCCCACCCTCAGCCCACCTCTCCAGACCTCCCGCCCCACCTCAGCTCTTCTCCCAACCATCTTACCCTCAGAGGCAACATCACCCCGGGTGGCTGTCCCCCCATCCTGCGTCTCTTCACAAGTACACCCTGGCACACGTGCGTGTTTCCACCGCCCTGCCAAGTTTACAGAAACACCAAACAAAACAGTCATGTCTGATGGAAAAAAGCTCAATTCTCAGTTGTTCCTACAGTCTCCTAAAAGTCAACTGTTTACTGTCATGTCAAAGCTATTTTACTTTTATAGAAGTAAGAAAATGTACATTTAAAAATCACTTGTAGAATAAACTAACACAAAACCAATTTTTTGCTGTATCTTTTAGCTTTTTTGAATGATATGCCACATCTCCAAAGCTAGTTTTCCACACAGCACAGTGTAGGTGCAGGAGCGCTCAGGGAGGGAACCACCTGGAGACCCCAGGTCCACACCCGCGGGCTCAGAGCCACACTGCCCCAGCCCCTCCCAATGCCACAAGCCTTTGTTTCAATCTCTCCTCCTCCAGCTTTGACACGTGTCTCAGTCAAGGCCACTGTTATGGGTTGAATTGTGTCTTCCAAAGAGACATGTTTTAGTCCTACTCCTTCCCCTCACCTGTGAAGGTGATTTTTTTCAGAAATAGGGTCTTTGCAGATGCAGTTAAGATGGGGTCATACCGGAGCAGCGTGGGCCCTAATTTTATATGACTGGTGTCTTTATAAGAAACAGAGAAGAGACACAGACATGGATATGCACAGAGTCAAGACACAGGAGAACATCACGTGATGACAGAGGCAGAGACTGGAGTGATATGTCTATAAGTAACAGAATGGCTAGGAGACCGCGCGGTCTGGCTGACACCTTGATTTCAGACGTTTAGCCTCCAGCACTGTGAGAGAATATATTTCCATTGTTCTGAGCCACCCAGCTAGTGGTACTTTGCAGGGGAGGCCCCAGGAAATGAATACAGTGCCTTTGGTGGGGGAGCACCTTGGCACGGCCCTGTTCCCTGGGTGCATGCAGGGGGAGGCAAGCAGGGGACACCAAGTAGGCAGGGCAACCTCCAGGTATTGAGGCTTGGAGGTGGCCCGGGCTGAGCAGTGTCAGGGAAGGGTGCCATGCGTAGGCTCTCTTCCCAGGTTCCCGCCCTCCTGTGCCATGAACACTCCCGGGGCTCTGCTCCCTGCCTGCCTCCTGCTCTCTCAGAGCCTCGCCTGTCTGCATCACCTGGTCTCCCTGTGTGTCACCTGCTCAGACGCAAGCTACCTTTCCCCAGTTCCTCTATTGAGGGTGTCACAATACACATTTCCTATGAAAATGAAGCTTCATCCTGCCTGACAATTCCTAAATATTTAAAGTTACACTGACATCCACACCTCAATACAGACTCCCATACCTGTGCCATAGGGTGACTCCACAATTCATAGTCACCTCTGGAAAGGGAAAATTTTGTAACAGATACACAATCCCACGTCCAGCTGCTTTGTGCTTTTCCTCAGGTCTCTGCCCCCCAGTACTGGGCATCGGGGGGAGGAACCCCTTTTGCTCTGGCAGGAGACAGACGTGTATTAATGCTGCGGGTGAACGTGACCATGCTTCCAGAGTTACAAGGAGCTTACAGTCTTGGCAAGTTATGCACTAACCCCTTTTGCTCTGGCAGGAGACAGACGTGTATTAATGCTGTGGGTGAACGTGACCATGCTTCCAGAGTTACAAGGAGCTTACAGTCTTGGCAAGTTATGCACTTCCTCAGAGATGCCCTCTGACCCTCCAGGTGTAATTCCTTGCTTCCTACTCTTCATCCTGTGACCTTTGCACAGTCATTTCTTACATGTTGACCCACTAGATGCACCCACAAGTCTTTGCACACCCTGAAGACCATAAATGTGAGGGTCCTTTCTGCAAGAGGACAGGGGGGCTTGGTCCCGGACCCTAGGGAAATGCAAATCAAAACCACTATGAGATACCACTTCACACCCATAAAGGTAGTCACTATCACAACCCAGAAAATAACAAATGTTGGTGAGGATATAGAGTAATCAGAACCCCTGTGTACTGCTGGTGGGGATGTAAAATGGGACCGCTGCTGTGGGAAACAGTATGGCAGCTCCTCAAAAAGTCTGAAATAGAATTACCGTATGATTCAGTAACTCCACTTCTGGGTATATACCTAAAAGAAGTGAAAGCTGGAACTCAAACAGCTGTGCGTACAGCCACATTCACAGCAGCGTTATTCACAATAGCCAGAAGAAACAGCTCAGGTGTCCATTGACAGATGAATGGATAAACAAGGTGTAGTGTGGGCATACAATGAAATATTGTTAGCCTTATAAAGAAAGGAAATGCTGACACATGTAGAACGGTGGTTGCCGGGGGCTGAGGGTGGTGATGGGGAGTTATTGTCTAATGGGGACAGAGTTTCAGTTTTGCAACCTGTATCATTCAGAGTTCTCCAGAGAAACAGAACCAACTGGAGGTGTGTACATATACAGAAAGAGACTTATTTTAAGGAATTGGCTCATGTGATTATGGAGGCTGGCAAGCTCAAAATCTGTAGGGTGGGTTGGCAGGTTGGAGGCCAGGGAAAGGCTGATGCTGCAGTTCAAGTCCAAAGTTTCCTGCTGTCTGAACTCTCTTTTGATCGAAGGAGGTCAGTCTTTCATTTTATTCAGGTCTTCAACTGACTGGATGAAGCCCACCACATGATAGAGGGCAGTTTGCTTTACTCAAAGTCCACCAATTTAAATGTTAATATCATCCAAAAACACCTCACAGAAACATCCAGAATAATAATTGATCCCACGTCTGGGCATCGTGGTCCAGGTAAGTAGATACATAAAATTAACTATCACACAAGAGGAAAAGTGTTCTGGAGATGGATGGTGGTGGTGGTTATACAACAGTGAGCATGTACTTAAGGCCACTGAACTGCACACTTAAAAATGGTAAAGATGGTAAATTCTATATTGTGTGTATTTTACCACAATTAAAAATAATTAAAAACGGGCCGGCCCAGTGGCGCACTCGGTAGAGTGTGGCGCTTGGGAGTGCGGCGGCGCTCCCGCTGAGGGTTCGGATCCCATATAGAGACCAGTCCGCTCACAGGTTGAGCGTGGTGCGGGCGTGACATCGAGGGTTGCGATCCCGTTGCCGGTCGCGGTACGGGTGCGACACTGAGGGTTGCGATCCCGTTACTGGTCACGAAAAAAGACAAAAAGGAAAAAAAATAAATTAAAAATAAATAAATAAATTTAAAAAAAAAAACCAGACTCTAGAATCAGCCACTGAGGCCGGCCCGTGGCTCACTCGGGAGAGTGTGGTGCTGATAACACCAAGGCCACAGGTTCGGATCCTATATAGGGATGGCCGGTTTGCTCACTGGCTGAGCGTGGTGCTGACAACACCAAGTCAAGGGTTGAGATCCCCTTACCGGTCATCTTTTTAAAAAAAAAAAGAATCAGCCACTGGATTGCTTTTGCACGGCTGTGTGACTGTGCGCAAGTTACTGAGACTCTCTGAGATTTCTTCACCTCATCAGAAAACTGGACCAAGGGGCCGGCCCGGTGGCGCACTGCTACAGTGCGCCACTTGGGAGCGTGGCGGCGCTCCCGCCGAGGGTTCGGGTCCCACGTACAGACCGGCCGCTCCTGAAGGTTGCGATTCCGTTGTCGGTCCCGGTCCGGTACGGGCGCGACACTGAGGGTTGCGATCTGTTGCTGGTCACAAAAAAAAGACAAAAAGGAAAAAAAAAGAAAAGAAAACTGGACCAAGGACAATGACACCCACCTCACAGGGCGGTGGTAAGAAGACACAAAGCCACACCCGTAAAACCTGTAATTCATATAGGACCGAGCACAAAGTGGATGCTTGATATATTTTAGTTTATTACTGTTATTATTCCCAGCATCTAATAATGCCAAGAGCACAACAGGTACTCGGTGTGTGTTTGTCGAATAAGTGAATGAATGAATGATCTTGTTCAAACGACTCAATTTCTCTGTGCCTCAGTTTCCTCCTGTATAAAATGGAGATAATAATGGTAGTTATTGTGAAGACCGGCAGTGTGAATATATATGTATGTAAAGAACTCAGGCTGGGGCCTGGCACAGCAAGTATTAGATAATATTGGCTACCGTTACTATCCGTGGTAATAATGGCAAAGGCTTTTCCTATTGCCTCGCCCCTGGCTGTTCCTCCGGGGCAGTGACAGGGGGAGCCACAGGGCAGGTAGACTGCGGAAAAAGGAAGAGTTCTGCTCACTGGATGCCTCAGCAGCAGAGGAGCTGGGCTGGAGGCCCTGCAAAGGTGGGCTTTCTCTGCCCTGACACTGAATGAGATAACCCCTACTCATCTGGAACTTAGTTTTGTAAACAGCTGACCTTCTGTGGCCCCGAGCAGAGGCGATAGCACAGTTTAACTAATTAGTTTCGTCTTGCACCCTGCATTGACCCCTGGTTGCTCCACCCCTCTTGTCTGTTCCAGGCCTAGCACCCTTCGAGACCCAGGACCCTCCTCCGTCCATCCGTGAGTGCTCCAGCCCACGCCCACCCCTTTCTCTGAACCCCTCTAGCACTCACATCCTGGAGAATAAAATACAGTACCTAGGTCCATCCAACTACCAGCGATGGCCTAGGCATATCAGGAAACCCCAGGCTTCCCTGCAGCTAGGGTTTAGGTTTGGGAGTCAGGGACCATGTCTTTCACTTCTTCTGAGTCTCCCAGAGCACCCAGCATTCAGCGCCCATAAGCGACCCATAAGCTTGTCTTACTTCTGAACTATAAACTCCACGAGGGCAAGAGCTTTTGTTCTAGTCCCTACAATGTTTGCACAAGGCTGGGTAGATTTTAAAGCTCAACCATATCTTCATGGGTGGAGAATTAAATCGTCGGAGTCTCCCTGCCTGCCTGAGTCAGTCAAGCCTGGGGAACACATGGAATCTTCCTGCCTCGAGATTCACAGGTGTCCCGGGAGATCCTTGGGTTGCAGATGGAGAGAGAGGAGACACAGGTGGTCGAAACACACAGAAGATTCTCCTGTCTTACTAATCATGTGATCAGCAAATCTCACTAGAGTCTGGATTAAGTGTCGCTTAAGTCTACTCGCGCCACTTTGCTCTGGTCCTATCCCTGCCAAACACCCTCTTGATTACTAATTTAGTTTCGCAAGCATGGAGAAAGGGAGCATCGTAGGCGCCAAATATCTTCCAGTGCAAAGCAGTCCCCTGGGCGTGTGGTTTATCTGAAATGCATGATGCTGGCATGGTGGCCATTTCTCTTCCTCCTCACGTTGAAAAGGCAGCAGTGCCCTGGGAACTGAGCACAGGGTGCACTGGGGTTCTGTTAGTTGGTGTTTGTGTCCTGAACAGCCAGCTGAGCCCTGGGGATGGTCTTGAAGTCCACAGCAGGCACGAGACACTGTCCTCTCTGCTCACTATGGCGCTACTCTGGCCTCCGGAGACCAAATCTTCTAACCTCTCAGGTGGGGAGGCGGGGGCAGCACTGTGCTTTGCCTCCCTCCACCTCCCCCCAGCAAGATGCCAGTCGTCACAGAATGGCTGTGGGCTCAGTTCCAGTTAAGACTCTCCGGGTCTCGTGAATCTAGATCAATTGGAGGTTAGAAGACCGGGAGAGTGGGACAGGTTAGCAGCGCAGGGGAAGTAGAAACCAGGGAAAGGACAAGGAGGATGAAGCGTTTGCTGGACGCAAGCGAGTCCTTTGCTTTTATGTATAAAGATCGCCTGCGTCTATGGCCACTGAATATTCTGGAAAATGATAGCAAAGAGATAGGTGTCCTCCAGCTTACCCTTTTGAGAGGAGGTGGAGGTGGGATACAAAGAACTAGGGACGATAATAAAGACTAAGCCATGAAGGATCATTCGGTTGACATCTAATTGGGCTCAGGCCTCCACAATGTTTCTTCTCGCTATTTAACGGTTATAATCCAGGGAAACTTAACTGGAT